CTAAATTCTTGTCCCTTCTTTGAAGGAATAGATTCGAACATGGAAGATTTGATTGGGCACCTGAGGGCGGTTAAACGGGACAACTAGAACATATGTGCTAGTTGAATTCAAGTTTGAGGTACTTTAATTCAAACACTTTGTTGGACCATTGTGGTGCCATTGTGGTGCAAAAGAGGCACCGATGCACGCATTGCCCCATTGTGGCGCCAACGCGTGGCAATTGGCGAAAAATGGGCGAGACAGATGGGCGCCTGCGAACGCTCAAAACTAGTCCAGTCCAGTCCTTGCCACAGCGTGAACTGATTTCGCAAGATGCAACAGCGTACACGAACAATTTGGAATTAACATAAAACTGAATCGCACACAGTTTTATAGAATGATTGGTGCGAGATGACATGCATCAACGCAAACAATTCGCTTGTATAAACCATGTGCATTGCATCGCCCACAGATCCTATAAAAGAACTGTGTCTAATAACCAAGCCACTATATCTGGGGAAATTTACACAATGACGTTTAACCACTTGTTTGACTGGGACTTGTGATCCTACCGAGTGTTGACACGTGCATTAAATTGGGAGGCTGGGGTGTACATTTGCATGGTAACTGTAGGCTGCAGGTGAAAATTTTGTTAACTGATTTGCATTTTTGCGTGTGCACTTGAGGTGTCTTCAGCGAATTAAGTTCAGATACGGCGTCCTTTTGTCTTGCATGCGGCGGGGATTGCTTGCAGATTCTGATTTTTGTGCCATGCAAATCAACTGCCGGGCATGTCCTTCTTTCCTTAATTCTTTTTTCTTTGCTGATGATTCGCTTCGATTTACTTAGGCGGTTGTAGATATTTCCATATATTGTGCGTTGGCTGATTGGCTTGTTTACACGTGATTTGTCTGGCCTAACGTGTCAATTTGGTCTTTCTCGCGGGGTGTTCATCGGTCAAACATGCGTGTGTGGTTTGCACACGGCGCTTTGGGTTGGTTCTGGACGCCGCCTTGCCCATGGCGCCGCTTGGGGATCGGTGCTTCTAGTGACCGCTTTGCCTCGATGCTTCTGGTGGGCATGCGTTCCTATAAATACAAGGTTGTCGTCTCTGCTTTCTCTCATAAACCACCCTCCTTCTCCCGTGACCTTTTCGTGTTGGCGACGGGAGTATCGCCCGGGCAACAGAGTTGTTGCCCAGCTTGGCATCGACGACGGGATTGCTGTCGAGCTTGGCGCTGCAGGCAGGGTCGTTCCAGTACTATGGGAACCGGCAAGGATGTAGCGGCCGGCTCGAAGCTGAGGCGACCATCACGACGGCTCGAAACTGCATCAATTCGTTGTTGCATCGCGTATGTGCTTCCCACCGCCGGCCGCTCGCCGTCTCCTCTCCACGCCGCCGAGGTGGATGAGAGTGTGCATGGGACTATGGGAGGCGCGCAGAGCCGATGATGGAAGGCCTCACTGCAGTTCATTGGCGGCCGAGCTTGGAAGACAGATGCCAGGAAAGAGCAGGACGGGGCGCCGCTGGCTGCGTCACCTCGCGACCACCTCGCGGAAGGTAGCCATCCTGGGCGCGGGCGCCGCGGTCACTTCAGTGGGTGCCTCTAGGGTCTGTGGTCATTTTTCCATGTCGATATTGAACCTGAATACCTGATCGAAAGGGGTGTGGTGGTGGTGCAAGGCGGCGCGCTCATGGTTAAGTGCTACAAGGACGTGCTGGTGTTGTCGCCGGAGAGGCATGCTCTGCAGGAGCTGCTCACGGCGGAGAGTCGCCGGACAGGCGGGCTCCAGGTGAGGAGCTGCAGTGGGAGCTGGACACGGCGGAGAGCTGCGTCCTGGCCGTGAGTGATAAATATTAAGAGGACTCTTCCGCCGTCAATAAAGTTGATTAGGCCAGCTCTCTCTCTCTCTCTCTCTCTCTCTCTCTCTCTCTGGGAGGTCAAGGCTATTGACGGCACGCACACACAAAAAAACGATGAAAAATCAGCTACATTAAACTCCCAAAAAGAACTCTCGAAAGTTCTGTCAATACCTAATATGTTGTACGCATGCAAGCAGAAAAAAATTGGCTAGACCAAACAGTAAGAGAACAAAATGGCCACCAATTTCTATGCAACTAGACACATGATCTACTACTCCCATGCATGTGATCACATCAAGCCTAAAACCCATGCACGTGGTCACATCAACACTAAAATTCATCCAGTGCATGCAGCAAGTAATCCAGTGCATGCAGCAAGTAAACCCACATGTGTATCCGCAACCTCCATCATGACCTCTCCGTCAATATCATGGTGCATACTAGACGGAGGGTGCATCTTACGTACATGAGTGATCAGGCTGATGTGTGCTAGTACGAGCAACAAAGACGTGTGTGTTCCAAAGTTTGCAGGCGCAGATGTGCACTGGAAGAGATAAAAGGGTAATGAACTACTGATAAGTTGGTTAAGACTATAGAAAAACACATAAGAGAGCTTGATGTGTACATCTATGTCTTCTCGGGAGACAAATGTCAGGAATGATGCTTGTAGATTATATCGGCATGATCAAAAAAGTGCAAAGTCTTGTACCGCACATTTACACTCTCTTTTTGGCCTGCCCTACAGAGATAAAACCAACGAAACTAACGGTGTAGTGAGACAGAAATGCTTGTTCTCGTGGCCACTGAAATATTTTCATCGGAGGCGAGGCCAGAGTCCAATGATTCTCGTCTCAGGTTAAAGGATGAGAAGGTGTGACAGCGGTGAAGGAAGGGAACCAAAGTTCAGACACGTATGCGAAAAGAAGGATACTAGGACAGGAAGTGATCTCCCTGTAGCATTATCTTACTCTGCTTCAGTTAAACTGAATGTTCTGTTCGCTAGTAGCTTGCTTTTTGCTGCAACTATGCTTCAGGTAATTGTTTTTTTTCTTTTTTCTGTGTTAACGACTATTTCCCGGTGCGATCTGAGACTAAACGATCGGTGACACTTGCCTAATAATCCATGCCCACATACAGCTCACCTTCTTTTTCTTTTGGCGAAGGCTTGAGGGGATCAATTACCCCTTCCACTGGCCCACGACAGATGGTTGCATAATTGAGTAGTGAAAGTAGCAAAGCGCTTTAATATTGCCAAGCGCGTGTATATATATTTTGAAGACCAATGTAGAGTGTAGAGCCCTGGTCTTTTATCCACTCAAATACAAAGTCTCTGTGCTGCGTGTTGCTTTGTACAAGTCTGACGACAT